AAAACAAGGTCTTTGTCTGCAATGATTAGACATGTTTTTTATTATTGTCATTAGTGATTATCTCAATTTCGGCTAAAAGACTTGACAAAATCCCACACACTGTGCCTTTAAATTGCTCCTCATTTTTTTATATAAAAGTCCAGCAAAATAACCAGTCTCAGTTGTCTCACCTCTCAGCCTGATCGCCGAGGGAGCCGATGAAGATGGCAAAGGCATTAACTCGTGGATCGGATGTCAAAACCTGGCCAAAGTGCTCKGGACGGATTCCATATCGCTCCAGGTTTGCATCACTAAGAACAATCACAAAGTGCTCATCAGCTTCCTCTCGCACCAGCTGCTTGATACTGGCCTCGGTGGCCTCCAGAGTGTAGTCCCCGCTCATACAGAACTGAGAGTGGGCATGCATGGTCTGAAGGGGGAGGAAAAGAAAACTTTAAATATTTCAGTCTGAAGAAGGGATAAAATAAATACTTCAGTGATAAAACCATATAACATAACCTTTTAAATTTATTTGACAATAATACAGGAAGATATARAAAATGTATGCAGATTAAAGCAGAACAAAAAAGAACCAGTGATAAAATAGGTTCCAGCTTTATTGTCACAACTAAAACCTGCCAGTTAGAACTGAAAGGGTTAAACTGGTCTTCAYACAAACAGCTTCAGTCTCAAAAAGACCATCCTGCTTCACAAAACAAATGTTTTAAATTGACCTTTTGATAAAACAATTTAAAAAAATCTATCTGAATGCAATTAATAAAAACTAATGTCTGAAACTTTAGTGGTTGAATTATGGTAACTGCATTAGACAGTTAATATCTAACATGAGGTTTCARATAATACATTTAAAATGTCACATAAAAATGCAGTAATTATTATTATTATTTTATTATGTGAATTCATTTATTGTATGAAGTTAATTCATATACTTTCACCACATGGTACAACAAAAACGACAGTGAAACCATGTTTTCTACATATTTGGTCACTGAAACACTAACAACTGATTCTGAACGTGTACCTTCAGGACTTTGAGTCGCTGCTTGTTATTCTTTGGCACCTTGTCTGCTGTGACCAGCTCAATGTTGCAGCCGTCCCCTGAGTGGCCCACGATGTCATACTGAAGGCAGAAAACACAGATATGTGGAGGTCACATCAAGTGGAATAAACAAGAACTCTGACGGGTCCTTTAGAGACACAAATCTGGTCCATTTAAAACTGATTTAGGCCAGACTCAACCATGAAGAGACATTCTCTTTATCTTAATCAGATAATAAAKAGGATAATCTTCTTTATATTTCATTTATTTTTCTCTTAACTAAGAGTTTTATGCACTTGATAATCAGAGACAATGTTTATCAAAGTTACAGGAGAAAAGAAAACAGATCTCTCTCTCCCTCAATGTGATTCAGCTGTATTATGGATTTTTTAACATTCAAGTTAAGGAGGATAAATAAATAATTTTCATTTAATAATAAGTTTCTGTACAACATAGTTTTGGAGAATCATCATTATGTTTGAGTGATGGGGTGCTACTGGTATGACGAGTCTAAAAAGGTTGGGAACCACTGTAGTAGAGTGTGAATGAGTATCTGAGGAGACAGATTGTAGAGTAAAACACTGAGTATCCTGGTTGGAAAAAAGGCTCTATGTAAGTACAGTCCATTTAAATAATTTTAACAAAATATTCTACAAGAGTGTGTAGGGGGATGATGTCACCTTAAACTTGTGCTCATAGCTCTCCAGAGCCTCCATGACCATACATACAGCCTCCATCGAGCGCTCCAGCCTGCCGTCCACYCCGTTGAAGCGGTACATGCTTCCTGACACATCAGCCAACAACCGCAAACGCTTTGGTTTCTGTTGTGGACTTCCCAACTGTGAAGACAGACGATTTAACAAAGATCAGCAGCAGGAAAGGATGAAAGATAAAACAGAGGTACAATGGAGTTACTGGATTTTGGTGCAGTTGCCTGCCCTGCAATCATTTTAATGTAGACCTTTACGCTTGACCAAAATATGCAACACTTAGGTAAATACTAGGGCTGCAACGATACAGGAAATTCACGGTTCGGTTCGATACTTTAGTCTCACGGTTCGATATTTTTTCGATACAAAAAAGAAAAATGTCCATGCCCCTTTTAACTTGTAATTTATTTAAGTTAATTATGAACATTTTTTTAACCTCAAAAGTACAGTTTTTTAATTAAATGT